CCCCCCCCCCCCCCCCCCTCTTCCGTGGATCCGCCGATGGAACCACTAGATATTTCGCATTTCTTTCTCCCGTTACATACTCTTTCATTTCGTTGAAATCACTCCTCCATAACTATTTGAATGCCTGGAGTCGTACTATGCGTTAATCATATGGGAGTTCTCGAAGTAGAAATCTCCTGATTCATACAGACAGAGACGAAAAATACGCGATAGATTTTTGCAGGTAGCACAACTTGCGCAGGAGACGTACAATTCGAATGTTCTTCAACTGCTCATCGATAATCTGACGAAACTGGACTTCGAGGCCAAGAAAGATGTGGCACAGATTTTCAACAATCTTTTGAGACGGCAAATTGGTACTCGTTCACCGACAGTTGAATATGTGCATTCGCGACCGCAAATGCTCGACGCACTCGTCAGAGGGTTCGTTTTAGACATTTCAGATCCATGTGCATACGTGAAATATTCTCCGTACATGTGTGAGCTTAACATTTCTTACCTATTACAAATATTTCTATAGAACCTTCTCCACTGTATTATCCTTTTCCTCCTTTTCTTTGTTTTCTTCTTTTCTTGATATCTTCTTTTGAATTTTTAAAGATTTCAAAAATTGCTCCTTTTTTGATTTTCTGTGAGAGCTAAAGGCAGCCAAATGGATTAGGGGATGAAGTTGGGCTGGAGGAGGGGACGGAGCGGGAAACGAACAGATGAAACTGGTGCCTAGAGAAAAAAAGAGGAGGGAAGTGATATTTGAAGCAAAAAGGTGATAAGCATGTAAGTCCTGCTACTGACCATATCAATTTATCCTCACAGTATATGTCCAAATACGAGTTTTACTATGATTCTGTGCCTTGGAAATTCCTTGAAAGAATTTAATTCTGAAGAACTGCGCTTCTGCTCTGTTGTTTTTGAAAGAAAAAAAGAACTGTCCTGAAAATTTTGATTCTGAAAATCCTGAAAAAAAAATTTTTGAAAAAAAAATTAAAAACCCGTCATACTGACAAAGTCCTGTTGCGGGTTAAGACATATATGACTAAATGGACCGAAACGTCTTATCTCACTCTTATTTTTTTCATACCACTCTACCATGCTGTAATCTATCGCGCCTTCGCCATTTGGGCTTCCAGGGCAACCTGATTGTTACAATCAGCTTATCTCCTTCAGAGATATGCATGAGTTGATTGTGGATTTGTAAATGCAAAACTGCTTAATTTGTCTTTTTGCAGGTATGAGTCGCAAGACATTGCTGTTACATGTGGGAGCATGCTACGAGAATGCATAAGACATGAAAATCTCGCAAAATTAGTTCTCAGAAGTTCGAGTTTTTACAATTTCTTCAGTTATGTTGAGGTTAGTTTTTTTTTTCCCCCTTCAAGTATTTTGTACTTTAGTTCTCAGAGAGGAACTAAAGCTTTGTCAGTGCTGTGCCATTGCTCCTTCTATGAAAAAATAAAATCATTGTGGGTTTTGTTTGAATAATCGGCTGTTTTGGGATGAGGTTGGAATGGAACCAGGAGAATAAAAGGGGGCTTAGGAATAGAGATTGATACGTTGCGTCACTTATATGCTTAGAATACTTGGATAAGTTAAAATAACTCATAGTCCGGAAAAACCATTTAGCTGGCCTTCTTTCCATTTGCTTTGACCAATATGTTGTGGTCATCCTCTTCGAATTTCCGCAAATCCTGTCGTTTTTTTTTTGCTGAAACACTTGGTAACTGAAGGGTTTTTCCTACAGAAACACTTCATGTGACATTAACCATTCTGAGTTGTAATTTTAATTTTAGATGATGTGTGTTTATGTAAAAATTAAGGGTTTGAAAGTAAAGGAATAAAAAGGAATGTAAATAAGTTAAATCGGAACGAAAACCTGAATAGGAATGTTTCGGTCTATGGCGGATCCTAGGGAAAAAGGGAAGAAGGCGATAAGCCTTTGGCGGCAAAGACAGCAGTGCTGAAACTGAAGAAAACTCTCTTCTGCACCTCCGGTCGCCCCCTCCCCTCCCCGGTCGTCGCTGATAGAAGCCTCATTCGTCACCCCCTCCCCCCTCCCCCTCCCCCTTTCTTCCCCCGGGAGGCCGCCCTGAATCCGCCTATGAACTGAGTTATCTTTTGCTGTGTGATGAGTGCCTGTGCATCATCCCGGACGTTGTCACTTCTAAGCCGCAATGAGGTAAAGTTACCAGCTGGGAGTAGTAAAGTTACCGAAACGTCTTAACTCTCTCGTACTTATTTTTTCTGTACCACCAATATTTCTACCTCTTTCATTACATATTTCTATTCTTGTCTTCTTTTCTAAGTTCTTCATATTACTTTCATGCTACAATCATACGATAATCAGATTACCAACCTGTAACTTTTTTCTTTTCTTCATTTTGTCATGTAATGCCCGCATATTTGCCTGAATACTGTTCCACTAGAACATAAACCCAACAAGACGTTCGGCTGTTTTACGCTGAAAGAGAAATTCTGTTTGTTTGTTTTTCAGTTGTCTACATTTGATATTGCATCGGATGCA